GAACAGCCCGGGCGAATAGACATGGGCGGGAAGGGGGAAAAAGTGACTTGACCCAGCCTCATGAGGATGAGCTGATGGAGTGGAGAAAGAGATGAGGTTTGTCGGAGGAACATGAGAGTGAAAAGTCACTCGTCCGTGAGCCAGACTGTCGGCGGTAAACGGAGCACCGGAAGCCGCCTTGGCGGGGTCAATCGCTGACTCCGGTCAGCCGGTGGAAAAGACGCTCGTTGAGCTCTTGGTTTTTGTCGGGCGTCCGTTGCGACAGGAAGACGTAGCCGCCGATGAACTCGACGAGGGTCTTGCAGTTGGACGACAGCGGCCGGAAGGAGATCTGACCCTCGCGGAACTCCAGGTCCACCCGACCGGCGTCCCAATTCACGTTCCAGCTGCGCATGTCGCTGAAGTTCCACACCCTCATGACCTCGCCCGTGGCCGCATTGACCAGCTCAACTCGGCCCTGGCAGATGGCGATCATCTGCTCGCCGCAGACGCCAGGCGCCAGGAGAGCGCCGACCGACGCGCCGACGTGAGGCCGATCAAAGCAGACGATGAAGTAGGTGCGTCCGTAGTGCGTCAGGCGCTGCCAGGCCTGTATGTACTTGAGCTTGGCCTCGGTCAGAGACAACTCACTGACGCTGCAGAGGGCCTCGCAGATGCGCTGGCGAAGCGCCTCTTTCGAGCGCGCCTTCTTGATCAGACGCTCGGGGCAAAAGTCCGTCAGGTCGCCGAGGCAGGAGGCCGTCTCGGCCGGCAGAGCCGACGCCGACGGCGTGGACATTTGCAGGCGCAGCAGCTCCATGATCGCGGCAACCTCCTTCTCGTAGGCGGCTCGACTGGCCAGCGTCTTGCCGCGCGCGCCCAACCGGAAAGCGGCCACCCATTTGGCGTACTTGTCGGCCGACTCGCAGCGCAGCCAGACGTCGTCACGCGAACCCGCAGCAGGACGCCGGCTCGACACAAACGAGCCCGACGACTCGGCCGGCCCAGGCGTCTGGCACGCCGCGGCCGGGTCGGTGAGCAGAGAGAGCTTGATGACGAAGCGTTGCGCGGCCGCGTTCACCTCGGGCGCCACGCAACAGTCGCGCAGGGTGTACTCGAACAACGGGCGCTTGGCTTCCTCGCGGCTCTTGTAGAGGTACAGGCGGGCGTCACGCACCACCGTCCAGTAGAGCTTGTAGTGCCGAATGCCCAGGATCCTGCCCTTCAGCACACGCACACTGTCCTCCAGCACGGGGATCACGCAAGTGTCCACGTCGTCCTGCCCACCGCGCAGACCCGCGTCCACACCGAGGCTGGCCGACCGGACAGACTTGGCCTCCGTCGCCACGCCGCACGACTGCTCCAGCTCGGCCAACAGCTCGTCCACCTCGTCCAGCCGCCTCGGGCCGGCCGCGTGTCCGTTGGGCAGCGAGGAGAGACGCTGCAGCGTGGCGCCGCCGTCGGGCACGCTGAGCAGAGACCGCGGCGTCAGACACGGGCTGTGCAAGTAGAGCAAGGAACCGCCACCGCCACCGCCACCGCCGCCGCCGATGGTGGAGAAGGGGGACTGGGCTCGACGGGCGCCGCCGAGGTCGGGACTGAGGGTCGGCGTCGTCAGGCTGGCGTAGTTGGCCAGGCTCGGGTACCGGCTGAGGGTGTCGGAGAAGACGGCGGTGGCGGCGTGGGCCGTCTGGAGTTCGGCCTGCAGTTGGTAGGCGGCGAAGACGACCATCTCGTCCTCGGTGCAGTCGAGATGGCCGGCGAGGAGGGACCAGCGCGCCTGCTCGTAGAGCTGGTGGATGCGGACGGCGTCGTATTTGGCGTTCAAGTCGTAGAACGAGTGGTACTTGAAGCGCAAATAGAGCGTGGGCGGCTTCGCGTTGTCCGCCTCCTGCAGCGGCGACGGCGGCTCCACGCCGTGCTCCATCAGGCTGCGCGACACGTCGAGCCAGCCGCTGTGCAGACGCGCCTTCTGCTGCAGGCTCTTCGGCCTCAGCAGCCAATCATCGGCGAACACCGACTTGGCCGGCACGCGGGCCGCGCAGTCGGCCAGCCGAGCCACGTCGGGCCGGTCTCGGTCCAACGAGCCGTCCGACTGCACGCGCGACAGGCTGGCCGAGCCGTGGC